TTGGAAGTCTGAACTTCACCAGACATTCGTGCCGCGTTAACCAATTCGCATCTCTTGTAGGGCAGTGATTATGACATAGCGCCTGTTGGTGTCCCTAGGGAAATCCTCATGCCGACACCGGACAACAGTTCATCAAACTGGACTCGGCTCAGTTAAAAAAAGCACTGCAGACAGCTTCCATCATCTGAGTGCACCTCAGAATGGATCTAGCAGGCTCAGGCACAGCTCCAAACGAATCGACACTGTTTATCAGGCTTTCTGAAGTACATAAACAGCTATTCTCTCAAAAAAAAATACATGTTAGCCATTTAGCAATGAATCTAAAGTGACTGGGCTGACAGAAGCCCTGCTCATTATGCGAACCTGCGTCTGTTGTGAAGTGAATTTGAAGGTGAATAAAGCGAGTAAACTCAAAATGTTCAGGGGTCTATTTATGTGCGAATAGCACGATTAATCTGCCTGTATCGCGTCTGGTGTGAACACAGTATAAGAAGTCAAACTGCATACCCATAAATCACTGCTTCTTTACTAAAAGGTAATAGGTCTATATAAGCTACTGTTTATTGCAATAAGTATATTACAAGAAGTTATATTATTAACTAATCAAACCCCTGTGATCAGCCAGATTGGTGGGTACCGATCGAGTCATTAAATGTAATTTTCGGCCGATCGATCGGAGCAGCCCTAAACCATTAATTATCGATGATTAAAAAAACACATTTAATTATGTTAAAGAGGTTTAATATGTATTAAATAGATTATAAGCATTACTATTTCGTAAGTGAGTGATTATTCTGTGCTTTTGAATGGCTGTATTAAATTCCTGTCGTGTTTTGTCTGGTGTTAACAGCCAGATTGCTTATCACTGCAAATCTTTTTGCGTAGCATGTTGTTAGGACACAGGGTTACAATGTAACCTGATTACCTAATGTTTACAGTTGTAATATTTATATTATTTACTAATTAATAAACTCATGTGGATCTCTGAATCTGCGTTTCATTTCGGAGTCTGCTATTGTTCACCGGAGGTCACATTTCGGTCACGGACACATGCTTTGAGAGCCTTCCTGATTAAATGAATGACTCAAAGAAATACACGGTTTTCCACAAAAGCAACCCACGGTGCTGAAATATAATTGGCTAAACTGGCAGTGGGCAGGTTTAAAGAACCAAAACAAAGACAATGTTCCAGCACATTTTCAAAGCAAAATATCTTACTTCAGCATTGTTTTTCAGATAAACAAGAATGTTTACTAAGCCTGTTCCTTAAATATCTGCAAACATATAATGGCATTTTTATGCTTTAGAGAGTCAAACACTTACATACAGCATCTTTAAGTGAGTCATCAGGTGTGCTGTTCTTAATTTCAGGAACTGATCTTGATAACAGGATCAGTTTCATCACTGCTCCCATTAGCGTGCAGTCTGATATAATTAGTGTAAACATAAATCATCAGAGCCAATTGAAAAGCATGTCACATGAAATGCAGTGTATTTGAATGCTGTTGTGAACTGACACTGAGAGGCTTCAGTTAACACAGGGAAGACTAATCCTCTATATTACAGAGAGTAGAACTAAAGCCAGACAGCTGAGCAGAGAAAGATAAAGAAAGAAACTGAAATGGAGAGCAAGAAAAAGAAGGAACGGAAATAATGTGAGAGACATGCAATCAAGCTGTTCCAGACTCCCTTTATGCAAGTTCACTGTTATTGTTGTATAAGCTGTAACATGCACTAGTGAGGTTATATATTTAAGAATAAAAGTGGTATATATATATAGTCTCTGGTGTATCACTTGTGTTTTCTTTTTTCTGTTGGCAGGTTACAAGTATTTCTATGGGAACCAGATCAGAACCTAAAACCTTTTTTTGCATATATCTCATTCTTTCCTAATTGACATTCTGGTTTCAACAGATACAGTTTTATAATTCTGTTAGAAAACCATGTCCAGACAGAGAAGCAAAGGGCAGCCGTTTGCTGAAGGACAGGTCAACAGACTCATTTATCGACCGGCCCCTTGGCCCCAAACAAACACAGATTTGTCATTTCACCCCATGGAGCTGCTGCTACTCCGTGTAATCAGAAACCCTCTACTACAAATAAAACACAGTGTAGCGGGCTTTCACTTTGCCTTCTAGCTCAATATACAGTTACGCTCATAAGTATCCTTGGCTTGAAGTGGATATACTGATATACTGTCTCTACCCTAGACCAGCCGATACAATCCTGTTCAGATAGCCAGCTGTCACTATGTGCACTGTAATTACACCTCACTGTGTGCCATATATATATATATATATATATATATATATATATGATAATATAAACAGTGGTAAAGTGTGGACTGAGATCTTTTTAGAAATGCTAGATAAAATGCCAGTGTGGACAAAAGTCGTCTTTATTCTAAAATGCCATTTTAAAACTAAGACATATTAGTGTAAACGGGGCCTACGTGTGTGTTTTATTTGTTTATTTTATTTATTTATTTTTTTTGTGTGTGGGTTGTTGCTGCAACATGGGCGGGGCGCAGCATCAAGACGTCTATCGGTCATCGGCGATAGATAATAGCATGGACCATCGACCCAATCCTAGTTTCTTTATTTTTAGAAATTTAGATTTACATGTAGCATACACAGTAAAAATGGTGATTTACACATTGTCACATCACACACCTGCAGCACTTCAAGAAAACATAATTAAATGATATCCACTTTATATGCTACATGATGTTTTACGTGAATTAAAGTGGGGAAAAAAGTAATAAACATTTAAAAAAAGAAAATGGCCACAAATTCCAACAAAAACTAAAGATTTTTTTGCAGCAATATTACTGTTGTGTTGACTATAGCCCCTTTCACACATACAGACCTTTCCGGAAAATTACCGGCAATTTTCCGGAAAGGTTGTATGTGTGAACAGGCCCTTTTTGAAAATACCGGTAAATTCGTTCTGGCTATTTTCCGGAAAGAGAAGTTGTAATATTACCGGTAATTTGCCGGAATGCTGCGCTGTGTGAATGCAGAAGGAAGATTGCCGTAATAAGCGCGTCCACGTCTAGAACGGGCAGACGTGAGACACCTGCTTTAACCAATCACAACAGTCAGACGCATTCACGTGCGCGCGGTTTATGAGAATAAAAGCCTTTGAATATTTTTTCCAGACACCTTTAGCTGCTAGATGTTAGTCAGATAATGTTTCTATGTTCCTTCTTAATGCTGTGTAAATAATTATCGATAAAATGTTTATGATAATCCGTTGTTTGTTTACCTTTAAGCTTTGCGTGTGCCCGTGAGCGCCCATAGCGCCAGCACACACACATATCAAAGTGTTTCCCTATGTTTTCATTAGAGTTGTACTCAATACTGATCCATCCGAAGAGTTTGTAATGTAGTCAAATGTTTACAAACACAAGCGCAGCCGTTTAGAGCTCATTTCTGGTTAATGATGTCAGAATTTACCGGCATTTTGCGATGGATGTGTGAATGCTCTTTTCCGGAAAAATTCCGTAACGTCCTCGCCTGTGTGAACAGCGTTTTTTGAATATACCGGTAAAGCCGTTCCGGAAATTTTCCGGATATTTACCGGTATCACTGTGTGAAAGGGGCTTATGACTACAGCAGGACAAAACCCAGCGATTGCATAGCTTTGTGACATATTCATAACATTATTTCACCGATGGATGTAAATCAGTGGTCACCAAACTTGTTCCTGGAGGGCCGGTGTCCAGCAGATTTTAGCTCCAACCCTAATCAAACACACCTGAACAAGCTAATCAAGGTCTAACTAGGTATACTTGAAACATACAGGCAGGTGTGTTGAGGCAAGATAGAGCTAAACCCTGCAGGGACACCGGGCCTCCAGGACCAGGATTGGTGACCCATGATGTAAATGCTTAACAAATTCAAGTCAGACATACTTCTCAGCGTACAGTTAAAGTCAGAATTATTAGCCCCCCCCATATATATATATATAGCTTAAAGGGGCTAATAATTTTGACCTTAAAATGGTTTCTAAAAAAATAAAAACTGCTTTAATTCTAGCTGAAATAAAACAAATAAGACTTTCTTAAGAAAAAATGACATACTGTGAAAATGTCCTTGCTCTTAAAAATCCTTTGGGAAATATTTAAAAAAAGAAAAAGAAAAATTCTAAGGGGGACTAATATTTCTGACTTTAACTGTATATTGGCTATTGAGCACTTTTGAAAAATCTCCAAATTGGTACAAACCATGGTTTGAAATTAAGTTGCCACATGCAAAAAAAAAAGTGCAATGTAGTTGAAGTACTTTTTTTTTTAACAATTGTTTAGTAAGCAAATTTTACATTTGTGAATATAGGGGGAAAAAAATGTTGTAGAGTATTTAAGGTTTTTAACACTCAATTTTTACTGATATGCTTAGTTTTACAGACCAAGCTGATTGTTTATCTTTGAAAACATAAAAATGCTTAAGTTTCTTTTTTATTGATATACTTCTAATTAGTCAACATTCTTTCAGTCAGCAGTTAATGGTTAACTACAGTCATCCCTAATTTCTCATCATTACTTGACTAATGACTGTCATCCTGGCGTGAACTCAATATTGGATAAAACTATGGATCAATGTTATCCAGCTCGATTTGTGGATGTCTGATCATGTGGATATGTTTAATAACAGCAAGAGAGTCTGACATTTTAATTAAACATTGTCATTGTTAATGTATATAGTCATTTCAAACCAACCTTGCATATGATGTAAGTACTAAATTGCAATTTGGAGTCTTCATATGAAAGAATATCAAACAGGTTTGTTGGTACTTGAGGCAATCCTGCATGAGTGAGGGATGACAGATCTTTCATTTTTGGGGCGAACATGTCATAGATATCATTTTAGCTTCAAAGTCTTAAAACGTTTACTTTATTTCCAGGTTTTTATGCTAGAGTCTAAGGCTTGGAAGCCCTGTGGGATTTTGTGCTCTCTTTCTTTCCATTGCTAATGCATTCATTCTTTCTTATTTTCAAGGACATGGACTCTGTGCGGCACTCCTGAGTATTTGGCTCCAGAGGTGATTCAGAGTAAAGGTCATGGGCGAGCTGTGGACTGGTGGGCTCTGGGTGTGCTCATCTTTGAAATGCTGGCAGGGTAAGACTGCACTACATTTATCTACTGCAGAACATTTTACACCAGAGATTTCAACCAGAAGGCTGTATACTGCAAGTTTGTAAGTTACTGCAGGGCATCCACAAAGATGTAAAGCAAAATTATCTTATTTTCCTATTAATATATGTATTTAATAATAATAATATTAAAGCCATGCCTCCTAAAGCCATGGGCCACATAAAATAGACAACACAATATAACAGTTAATCATGAGTCATTCACCAGTTAGAAAACTTCATAGTACTGTAAATACTTTATAAGGGTGGCACAGTGGGTAGCACGATCCCCTCACAGCAAGAAGGTCAATGGTTCAAGCCTCGGCTGGGTCAGTTGGCATTTCTGTGTGGAGTTTGTATGTTCTCCCTGTGTTCGCGTGAGACTCCTCCAGGTGGTCCGGTTTCCCCCACAAGTCCATAGACATGCGCTATAAGTGAATTGGTTAAGCTAAATTGGCCGTAGTGTATGTGTGTGATTAAGTGCGGATGGGTGTTTTCCCAGTGATGGGTTGCAGCTGGAAGGGCATCCGTTACTTAAAACATAAGTTCGATAAGTTGGCGGTTCATTCCGCTGTGGCGACCCCACATCAATAATGGGACCAAGCCTAAAAGAAATTGAATGAATGAATGAATATACTTTGTGATACTACAATTCTAAACTTAAAATGCTTTTGAAAAAGATTTTTCACAATGACAGAGTGATTGACTCGTTAAAATCTATCGAAGGCTGGAGGGGTTCCTGAATTGCCAATTACATGTGGTTTTTAACTACCATGCCGAACAGTCTGATACCTTTGATCAATCATGCCAATACGAAGTCAGTTCCAGTAGTGCCAGCAGCGAAAATCTTGGGCTGTGGACAATGTAAAACATGTATTTTTCTCTAATGAGTCCACCTTCACTGTCATTGCCACATTCGGGAGAGTTACTGTGTGGAGAAGCCTCAAAGAAGCACACCACCCAGACTGTTGCTGCAATATCATGGCATCCCCTAGGCACAATAGTTGTGTTAGATGGGCATGTCACTGCCAAGGACTGACGTACCATTCTCGAGGACCATGTACACCCAATAGTTAAAACATTGTATCCTGAAGACGGTGCATGCATCACGATGATAATGCACCAATACACACAGCAAGACTGGTGACAGAGTGGTTTGATGAACATTGTTCAATTCATGCTTATTTATATAGCGCTTTTACAATGTAGAATGTGTAAAAGCAGCTTAACATAGAAGTTCTAGTAAGTTGAAGTCAAATTAAAGTTCAGTGCAGTGTGGTTTAAACTTCACTGCTGAAAGTCCAAACACTGAAGAGCAAATCCATCGATGCGCAGCTCCACAAGTCTCATTAAAAGGAAGTTCCACAGTCACCAGATCTAAATATTATTAAGTCAGACATGTCTGGAACGTTTTCCTCCACCAGCATCACATATTGACCTGGCCACTCTTCTATTATTATTTCTATTATTTATTTGTCAAGATGTAATTTGTGGTGGGTCAAAAATGAGAATAACGAAAAGCATTTTTTACAGTAATATAATTCATTGCTTGAATTTCCATTCTCTAAAACTAAACCACTTTCAGTTTTTTCTATTATATAACATCTATTTTTCCATTTTGAATTTAACATCCCTTTAGTAGAAGAATGCTTGACCAAAACCAGTGATGAATAAATCCATTTGAGAAGTTGGCAGTTGGCATTTCATCCTGTACAGCTCAGACTGTATTCACATTGGCCTGTGCAGAGAAGAGCTATTGTCAAACATACGGCACTAGAGGGCAGCAGTGGAATATTAGACACTGAGCTTTACAACGGGCCCAAAACTCCATGTGCATGTCTCACAGATGGCCGCTGCTGTCTTGATATTTATCCTTATTATGATATTTATCCTTATTTGCCTAGATGTTTATCCCTGCAGCCTATATGCAGTGTGCACAAACTGGCATATTTAATATGCACATGGATAATCTGCTTGCGTTTACAGTATCTCAGGGGGCGAATGTGTTTCTTGGAATAGATCTTGTTTACAAAAAGATTACATCCAGATTAAACTGTTATTACTAACATATGTGGGCAGAACAACATGCAAAATCTGTAGATAAATTTTGCACAAATTATGCATGATATTTCTGGATCAGTCATTTTCATGCTGCTAAAGAAGCCCCAGTACACGAGGTGAAGTTCTTCTTTGTTCTTTGCTTTGAAATACATTGTCAGCAGTATGGCGCCCACACATCTGGAAGTGGCAATTAGAGAAATATGTTAAAATGTGCTGCGTGCATTGCACTCAATAACAAAATAAACACAATAAAAATTAAAAAAAAAAAAATTAAATTAAAATAAATATATATATATATATATATATATATATATATATATATATATATATATATATATATATATATATATATATATTATAATCTTTTTTGGAGAACAAATGTGGTTTAAATGTGAATTTGCATTGATTTACTAAGTAATTTATTTATTTAACAGTAATTAATATAGCAATTATAACAATAAGAAAAAAGAACAACCTGCTTTGTCATAGCAAAAAAGGTGGTGTTGTGGTAAAAATTTTTTTAGAGGGATGCAACAAGCAGACAGTTTAGAGAGTACACACTGTGACCACTTGTGCAATGGAGGAGGAAAAACAAATAACTGCATGGCGAAGTACACTTCCTCTGGAATTTGTAAACCGGGGGGTGTTTGAGAAAGCAAGGTTAACATATTATCACTTATACCTTACCTAAGACTTACTGACTCTCAAGCCAGACTTATTCTCTGCTGAACAGCAAATCCTCAAGGGACAATCAGATGAATATCAATTACTAACTACTTTGGTTATTTTTAAGGCATATTGCCACCTATTGGTGGCTTGTTATTGCAGTTTCTTTTTAATGATGCGTTTAATTTTTCACATTTAAAAAATATGCAAGCAAGGAAGTAAATAATCACTGTAAAATGATACTTTAATTATTTACTTTACATAAAAATAAATTTAAAATCACTTGCCCTAAAATCAACAAGTTAACTTTACTTAAAACTTCGTAACTTGGACACTGTTAAGTTGATTTAACTTAATTCTTAATATTAGGCACATACTTCAGAGAATTCATCGCTCCAAGCTAAATGAAAATGATTGTTTTAGATTTATAATTTCTACAATATGATGAAAACACATTTCTATTTCATATAAAGTAGTCACGAAATGATTCAAATTTAGTATTTTAACTAACAAAATTGCACAAAATGCATAAAACTACCGCCTATGCATTTATATTAGCACATTTCTTGACATAAGTTCTTCAAATGATGTTTTGATGCACATGTGTCAATCTCAGTTTGAGCCCCTGGAGGGCCGCAGCTCTGCACAGTTTAGTTTTAACTCTAATTAAACCCACCTGATCAAACTAATGGAGTGCTTTAGGTTTGTTTGATACCTACATTGATGTGTTGAAGCAGGGCTCGAACTAAACTTTGCAGGACTGCAGCCCTCCAGGAGTGGAGTTTGATACCACTTTTTAAAAAGAGCTTACCTGCCTACACGAGGAAACAAACAATGGGCAAAACAGAATGTCTGCAAGGGGTAGATTGAAGTTAAAGACGCAGAATATAACTCTAATAATTTTCACCAAAACAAAGTGGTGTCTTACTTTATTTAATGTAAGTTAAGAGTAAATGCAGACTAACACAGTTAATTAACACTTCTGATTTTACTGTGCACTTGAATTTTGAATAGTGATGTACCAACAGATTCCTGTTAGTGACGTGCATACATTTGCACAAGCTATTTGCATGCTACCTTTGATTAAAGATTATCTAAGCTTTTTTTTTTATTTATTATTAATCGTCACTTTAAGACTAACAATGCATGTTTGTGAAGTAAAAATTGTATATTAATTAAATGGGGACTTTAATGTAAATTTGATTAAGAATTTTAACTTTAATTTCTATTTAAAGCAGCTCTCCAGTGTGTTGTGTTGTATGTAACTTGTGTATGTCTGACTTACCGTCTACTTATAACATAATCTTCACATATTAATAGTTAGGCGGTGTCTATCAGGTCTATAAAATGTATTTTTGGCCTGATTTTAATCAAAATTACATCACTTAAATCTTAGCTTTAATTGGGTATATGCACAGGGACTTTTAATTTTAATCAGCCAACCCCGATCATTACTGCCTGGCTGAGACACAATATGAAGCGGTTTATCAGACCAAACAAGAAGCACTGAATTCAATTATATTTTTCTGCACTATGACTTTAAAACATGGCAATTAATTTTACCCCAGTATTTTTAATGGTAATTTAGTGCTAGCATGCTTCTAATGATGACGCCTGTATATAAACGGCCTTTTGTGTCTTTTTAAGTTTTAACAATTAAATGGATGCTTGCGTCTTTTTAACTCATTATATTTGAATTACATTACAACCTCGATATGCTGTAAAAGGAACCTTATAAAATTGAAAATAGTCACATAAAGCTTTCAACGGAAGTTAATCATGGGCTGAAAAACACTAGCTGTGCATATACTGTAGCCCATTCAAAGTATATTGCAGCTTTAAAGACAGAAACTGCACTTTCTAAATGATCTCGGTCTCACACAAGAAAATGTGTTCTTTTTGTCACACGGAATCCAAAGCCAGTGTGAAAATAAACTTCTTCCCTCTTGGTATAAATTTGGATGGAACAGTATATTCGGTCCAAATTGCTCCATTCTCCCACCTGCGTGTTGCTGAATCTAGAGTCTGCCTGGAGCTTTCACAGGCTCTCGTGTGGAGGAAAAAGTGACCCACCCTCTTCATTCATCCCAGACTTCTTTTGAAGTTTTGGCTCCTGCAAGAGAGTGAGAGAAAGAGACCTGGTCCTTTACGTATTTTTCTCAGCTAGGCCAGACATACAAAAGCTCCCTTCATTTGTCTCTGGAACTGTGTGCTTTTCATTGCGTGTCAAAGGTCACTGGACTCTGCTTTGCAGGAAAT